GAGGCGACCACAAATGCGACGAAACTATTTACTTATAGTCAATCAGTACGTGAGAGTGAGACAAGCAATGTTTAGTGTCTAAATTATTTACTTCAATAATTAAATTATTAGATAACTATTTATTTTATTTAGGTAAGTATTTTTAATTAGGAAATATATATATCGGTGTAAAATGTTTTTTGATAAATTATAATTCATTATGCTTATATAGCTTCTTGTATGTGTTTACGTATGCATACGGTGGATTAGCAAATAATTGCAAAAATTGTCATCTGCTGTTTTGGATACCTAATTAATAATTCTAAAAATTCTTTATTACAGCTTCAACGCAAGCATGGCATCTGCAAAAAGAACTGGAGAAGAGCATCGAGAATTCAATCGGGATTGGACGAAGTCGTTCGCTTTCATATGTAACTCAAATAGCCTTCCGACTTGTCTCATTTGCCACGGAAAACTCGCACAAAAAGAAATCCAAATTTAGAGAGACACTTCACTGCAAAATATACTCAGTTTGCTAGTAAATATCCAACCGGTGAAAAATGAAAAAAAAGCTGTCGACAAGCTCCAAAAACAAAAACAGCCATCAATTCCATGTTGTTAAGTAACTGGACGCAATCTACAAGTAATGTTTATCTGGCAAGCTTCGCGGTATCATTAGAAATTGCAAAAAAAAAAAAAAAAAAGGCAAACCATTCACAGATGGTGAGTATGTCAAAGATTGCTTCATACGTGCATTTGAAGAGCTATTTCGTGATTTCAAAAACAAACCAGAAATCTTGAAAAAAAATCAAAGATTTGCCGCTATCCTCTAAAACAGTACACGATATAATAGCTAAAATGTCTTCAAATGTAACATTTTGCAGGTGGAAGATATTCAATAAAATAAGATCGATTAAAATAAAATCCTTTCAATAGCAACTGATGGAGCCAGAAGTATGACAGGAAAAAATAAAGGGGCAACAACGATACTTCAGAGCAAAATAAACCACGAAATCCTTACGTTTCACTGCATAATACACCAAGAAGCGCTTTGTGCCAAACATTTCCGGCCGAAATAGTTAAGGTCACGAATTTGGTAATCAAGATTGCTAACGGCATCTTGTCAAAAGCATCACTCTACTATCATCAGTTTAAAGAATTCTTAAACAAAATGGAGACTCAGTATATTCCGACCTACTTCTTCACAGTAAAGTGCGAGGACTTTCCAAAGGAAAGGTGTTGAAACGTTTTGCTTTGTGCTTGAATGAAATAAATACATTTCTCAATGAAATGGTGGGTATCACAGTGAAGTTAAATCAGCTGAACCTAAAACTGCAAGGAAAGGGAAACCCAGCCTATGTTTTTGTAGAATTGGTTTGTTTCGAAGAAAAATAAATTTTTTTTTTGCAGAAGATATTCAGAGCGGTAAATTACTTCATTTTCAATTTCTAATGTAATATCGCGATAAAACCAGTGCAACTGTTGACACGAATTACTTCAGCACAATTGTAAAAAAAATAAAGATGAATTTGTGGACAGATTTGAGCAATTCAAAACCAACAAAACCACTCTAACATTCACAGTAAATCCTCTCAACACAAATAGTAACGAAATCCACATTGTGAGCCATTTGGAATTGATACTGGATCTCTAGAAATGAAATTGATCGATTTAAAATGTAAAATTTTGTGGAGTAGAAAATTTACAGAGTTGAAAAGTAAGTTGGAAGAGTTGGAGGTCCAGAAATGAACGTACGTAACGCAACTACAGTTGATAGCTTTAAAAGAAATGCCACGAGTTGCGGCACTTGTATTTGACGCATGGAATAGTCTTCCAGATTGCTACAGTGAGGTGAAGAAACTGGCATTTGGAGTGCTGACTTTCTTCGGATCGACATATTCGTGCGAGCAAGCGTTCTCTTGCGTGAATATAATTAAAAGTAAAGTAAGAAAGTAACAAATGAAAATTTAGAGTCATGTTTGAAACTTAAAACAAGTTATGAGCCTAATTTATCCAAACTTTCTAAAACCATACAAAGCCAACGCTCCCATTGAATTTGTTTTATCAAATGTATGTTATTATTTTTTTTTTATTTTTAAGTACAAGTTACATTGTTTAGTTAAGTTTAAATTTTCTACTTGAGTATATATAACTATGCAAAGCCATCACTCCATTGAATTTGTTTGCTCAATTGTTTGTTATTACAAGTTAGTGTTGTAAGTAAATGTTTAATTGTTTTAAAAATTTTTTACTTAAATAATAAGTAACTATCTAATAATGCCATATATATATTATCTAATTTGTTGTGAAAAACACTACTTATATATGAATAATTAGATATTTTTTTCTTATGAATAAATAGATTGGGTTGTTTTTGTTTTTTTTTTATCAAAAAAATTTATTTATGGAAGTACTATTTATTCTTGGCAAGAAAAAAATTTGTGGCTCTTTTAAAACTTTGAAATTTTGTAAATTGTAATTTTTGGCTCTTCCAACTCCAAAGGTTGCCGACCTCTGCCCTAGAGGAAGGCACCCGAGCTCTGACGATGCGAACCTTGTACTAGGATTTAATTTTGCTTAGAGTACCCCTAGGAATCTCTTACATGCCGTATAATCATACGACATGACCGCTGTCGATTTTCTGCATCAGGAAAATCCATTGACTTGGGTCGAACCCGGCAACATTGGGTACAGAAGGCCAGTGACAAATCAACCATGCCACCCAGCCATTCGCCCAACTTAAAATATCGGATAGTTTTTATCTCAATTAATGACGTCATTATTTTTTTTTATTGCCGTGAATATGAAGAATCCGGGAAACGGAAAAATGTAGCAATGAGCATGTTCCTATGGAAGCGGATTTTGTTGACCATGGAGCACGAAAAGTGAATGCCTGTCGTATTTAGGAGCGTGAAATTCAAATTTTGAATCGATTCCCAATAATACCCGTAACTTTTCCGGATAATGCCGGACGACCGTATCTTAGACACACTGGGGCAGGGACTTACCTTAAAAGTTTTGGAGCACGAAAACTTGGTCTCTGGCGCATTTCAAGATAGGCAATTCGAATCTGATATCCAATCCAATCAAAGAATTTGCCGGATAATTAGGGACTACCGTCAATTACGTGGAACGTAGCAGAAGCTTACCCTAAAAGTCTTGGTGCGGGAAAAGCGCGTTTCTGTGTATTTCGGGATGGTGAACAAGAATCTGAAATTGGAGTTTAGAAATTCTAATAACTTTGCCGGATAATGCCGGATGACTCTAATGTTTCCTTTCAGGGACTGAACTTGCAGACCCAAGGACACCGAAAATCTATCTATGTTGCATCTATGGACACGAAAAGAGAATCTGAAATGAGATTCAAGAATCTCCCGTAATTTTGCCAGATATTGCAGAGAATTCGTGAAATGGCTTCGCGTTCGATTCCTCATGCTGATTTTCATTCCCTCTAGCGGCTGAACTTGAACGCGCTGAGACACCGAAATTCAGTCGCGTGAAATTGGGAAATTAGATGAAATTGGATTTGAGGAGTTCCGGTTACTTTTTTTGTCGGATAATGCCGGACGACCGTAATATACGTGAACAGCGGCACCAGCCTAACTTGCAGACGTAGGGACGCAAAAGAGGGTCCCCGACGTATTTCAGGACTCCCAATCCGAATATTCAATCCAATTCGAGAAAATTCGCGTAACTATACCAAATAATGCCGGACAACCGTATTTTACGCGAACCATGGCAGAGGCTTACCTTAAAATTTTTGGGGTGTGAAAAATAGTTTTCTGGGTGGGAAACAAGACTCTGAAATTTATTTTAGAAACTCCCGTAGATTTGCCAGATAATGCCGGACGACCGTAAGGAACCCTCCCCTTTTAGGGACTTAACTTGCAGGAGTAGGGACGCCGAAAGTGAGCACCGGGTGTTTCTCGAAGTGAAGAATGAGAATCTGGTTCGGATTTCAGAGTGAGTGAATATTAACGTCGCACTGTTCAGTTACACGAGGGCTTTTGGTTCGGATTTCAGAAACTTCCGTTACTATGTTGGATATTGCTGGAAAGGGCTTTGTGTTTGAGTCTCGTTTCCGGATTTTTATTCTAAATAGCTACTAAACTTGCATGCGCAGCGCGAAAATATTATCGCAACAGAAAACTGCACTGGCAATTACTGTTGCCCTTTGTTTGATGGTGCACAAACTGCACATTCAGCATTCAAGCTGCCATTAGACATTCATGAGAAACTAGACGCAATTTGTAACGTAAAAAAGCGGAATGGCTACGGTATTTCAAAGGAGTTCAGCGATAATCAAGAATAAATGAACCATGGCCCACGAACATTCACTCGAATCATTACATAAAATTTTATAAGATTTAAACAGCAACAAAAAAATATTCGGGTGTACTATCCTACTACTGTCAGGTGATTTCAGACAAACATTGCCAGTCATTCTTTGCTCTACTTTTGCTCACGAGATTAATGCATGTTTAAAACAATCGTTTTTATGGCGAAACTTCGAAACATTTCGATTGATAATAAACATGCAAGTACAATTGCAAGATTATCAATTGGCGCAAATATTTTCTAACCGACTGCTAGATATTGGAAACGGTGAAGTAGCGCTGCATCGCAATACGTAATGTATCAAATTGCCAGACAATTTCTGTACTGTTGCTCAGACAAAAAAAAAATGTGTGTGTGTACTTATGTACGCACGTAAGAAGTTATACTTCTTTGGCGTAACAAAATTAAAATCCTTCTAAAAATCTTTAGCAGGGCAATCTGGGCCAAGGACGAAAGGCGGTCACGAACAGAGTTGAACGATACTAACCTTCTGTCAATCGGACCAGCCAAACCTGAGATAATCACGATTTAAATAAATTTAAACATCCCCGCTCAGGAAAAATAGGACCAATAATATGGGGAGGGTGTCGAAGGCGGGAATGATCTGTCCCGTTTTGCATATTTCTAGACAAAGCATTTTCGTATCCGTTCCTACGGAACGCAGAGCAAAGGTTCGCTGACGCGGGGGTATAACTCACAGTGGTAGAGCATTCGACTGCGCATCGAGAGGTCCCCGGTTCAAACCCGGATGCTCCCTTCTTCAGGGAAATGAAGAGAATTTTTTTTTTGAGAAATTCGAAGGCGGGAATGATCTGTTCCATGTAGCATATTTCTAATCAAAGCATTTTCGTATCCGTTCCTACGGAACACAAAGCAAAGGTTCGCTGACGCCGGTGTATAACTCAGTGGTAAAGCATTCGACTGCGCATCGAGAGGTCCCCGGTTCAAACCCGGTTGCTCCCTTCTTCAGGGAAGTGAAGATAAATATTTTTCTGAGAATTTTGAAGGCGAGAATGATTTGTCCCGTTCTGCATATTTCTTGACAAAGGATTTTCGCATCCGTGACGGTGTGCTTCACATCCGTGATGGTTCTGCGTCACACCCGTGACGGGGTGCGCGGGCATTGTAAAAATTTACCCTCATCCTATTTCTCTAACGCCCCAAAAGAAGTATAACTTCAAAAAAAAAATTGGACTGATTGTGAGAGTATCTTCCCGGATATGTGCTGAATAATTACCTAGATAATGATTGGTTCTGCAATCCTGTTATACTTAGGCAGAAAATATGTTGACGTTGATGAAATAAACCTTCAGATACAGAGTTGTTGCCAAGTGATTTGCTGCCTTTTAAATCAATCGACACTATTGTTGATGAAAACGAAACCCCAAATTTTCCAATGGGCTTGATTCATGAAGTCACATGATAAAAACAAACACGTGTTTTCCATTGAATTCAAAACAAACATTAAACTAATAATACTTGTTGTTCTGTTTGTAAAACTCAGATAAAATTTCAAATTTCATATTTGGGTAAAGATGTTTAAATGTTAGAGAAACAAATTTCTTCAAAAAGATTTTTTTTAAATTAAAAAAAAAGTCGTATTTTATGCTTATATTTTTAAATAAAATGCATTTTGTATACATATGTACTTTTTAAGAGAAAGTTTCTGCAAAGACCAAAACTTGGCAACATTGGAGTGCGTGAACTGATTAGTTGGAAACACAAGATAGTTTTTATTGTGTGGCTATGACGTCACATGAGTTTTTGAATTGATTGGCTAGAATCACGTGGCTTTCACTATCATGTGACTATGACGTCACATGAATTAACCTCATTGAGTTTTTGAATTCTCTGGATTTATCAGGAGTGCCACCACACAATATCCGATTGAAGATTGGTTCACTGGTTATTCTGCTGCGTAAGTTGATTCACACCAAGGCTGTCAGCGTCGGGGTTTGTAGTCTAGCCAATCAGAGACTTCATCTCGGGCGAGATAAGGTCTCTGATTGGCTAGACGCTTGACACTCGACGTTTGTACGCCTTGGTGTGAATGAGCCTTAACTTAAATCCACCTAGATATTGCAAAGGTACACGCGTTTGGACATCAAAAGAAATACCGGGAAATATCTTGAAGCAACCAATCTGATCATAAAGTTTAAAGGAGAAATCGTCCTGTTGCAACGTATTCCACTGATACCGTCAGATCTCCAATACCATTCAAATGGCTTCAATTCCCAATTTGCTTGGCCTTCACGATGACCATAAATAAATCTCAAAGCCAAACAATGTCCATTTGGGTCTTGGACTTAGACAATGTTCCCCGCATGTGAAACTAAATGTTGCATGCTCACGTGTGGTGAAACCGTCGAATCTACTTGAGTTAGCAAAAGACAGGCAATCGAAAAATATTGTACACAGTATAGCTATTATTTATATTATTTATTGTTATAATTTAAAATGGTAAAAATAATATTAAAAAATGCTAAAAATCACCATTATTCACCTTATTCATGAAATTAAATCTTCATTTGTTGTTACTTAACAACTTCGTAAGTAATTCATGCATTATATTGTACTATGATAAAAAAAAGGTGAATAAAATGCAAAATGAAAAATATTATGTTGTTTATGTTTAATTTCAACTCTCCGCAATTGTAAGTGATTATTAATTTGACTGCATTGAATAGCTTAGAGAATAATATTAAATCAACGTATTACAACAAAGCCACAGCAAAGCGTGGCCAAGTTAGCTAGTTATATATAAGGACGCCAAATTAACTTATGCATAGGGCAGAGTTTCCCAAACTTTTTTGTCTCATAAACCCATTGCCCATGTTTCTATTTTAGGGAATACCACTGTTTACTCAACATTGAATTTTTGCAACTTTTGCTTCCCCGGGCGGCATACGAAAAAGGGCGGTAGCAAGCACCGCGATATTTAAATTCAAAAAATACTTCAAACTCCAATTCACGCCCACGCGATGAAACTCACGGAAACAGTGGAAGCTTTAATACACGCACAGATGCAGGAAGTTTATTAGTCGTTAAGCAATCGCATTCGTTTTTATCTTACTTAAGCTTCTGATAATCGGTACTGCGTGAAGTCAATGGTGCTTAAAATTATTTGCAAACAGAGGGACTAAATATCCATTAATGTGCTAAAATATTACGTGCTTTACCGACCGTATTAGAAGCAAAACCAGAGGAATTCGTGGATGACGCTTTAATTATGTGAAGAGTTTGAAATTTCTTTTGAACCCCCAAGTCAAATCAGGAGGAAGCATATATTTGGCGACGGAAGTAAAGATGTTCAATTGTGGTACGAAAATGACTTAAGGTGAACAATGTTTTCTTCAATAGACAGAGTATTTGTTGAAATTCGAGAAAGATTCCAACAGTTGCAGAATCTAGCGCAAAAATATGCTTTTTTAAGGCTTGAAGTGGTATTGAGCGTGGAAGAACTTAGATCAAGCTCCTCAAGACACTAATAAAGAAGAATTCCAACTTGAGCGCGTACGTCTACAAGCTTTCGTAGCTGAAAGAAACTCAGGCTGTAAAAAAGAACTCATTAGGTCAGGCTCTCTGGGTCTACTAAAATATATTATTGAATCCAAACTTGAAGATGGCTTATCAAACATTGTCATAATGTTGAGAATTTTTTTTAACATCTGCCATCTGTAATGCCCCAGTTGCGATAGAAGCTTATGTAAGCTAAAATTAATAAAAAATTATCTCAGATCTACAAGATGTCCTCGCTAAGGCTAACTTCTGACAAATGAACATAACATACTGATATTGGCAACTGTATAAAAAATTTTGCTATGAAAAAAACCCATGAAAAGTGCATTTTTAATCAATAAAAAAAATTTAGAGCTGTTTCTTTTTTACTTTTACTAATTTTCTTGACTAATAATTAAAATAGTGAGGCGATAAATTTCCTGTCGGTCCCAGGCGGCAAAAGCCCATGCTACGTCAATGTGTTAAATGTGTTTTTGATAGCTAATATAGAGTTGGCTGGTTTCTTTGAAAGATTTAAATTTTTAACTGTAGTGTGAAAAAATGAAACAAAAACATCTTAATTTTAAACATTTATTAAAATTTAGTACTAATTACATAAAACAGCTGAGTAAAACACAAATGGTTTTAATGGGATGGCAGAATCTGATGCTTTTAAACCAATTTTTAGGATTTGACATCAATTTTGTTAGGCTGAATCTTCTTAGGTAGTATATAGAGTCCATTTTTTTTAAAAAAAATTTTTTTATTTTATGGAGATTGGCAACCGCGCTGAAATTCCTTTTCATTAGGTCTCACGGTATTCCAAAATTCATGATAGATACATAATGTCTTTATATTATAATAAACATTATGTAATTAAATAAGTAACAACCCTATGTATGTGGAATATTTATTCCAGTCACTGGTGTTAAAATTAAAGTTACGAACCAGTTAATGAGAACCACAATCGTAGATCCCCATTTACATCTCATGGACCCCAGTTTTTTTTTCATGCTGATGCAGACCCTTACAGACGTCGTAGACCCTGAGGACCATGTAGACCATTCTGGGAATGATTGGCGTAGAGTGCCATCGAACCTAAACCCGTCACTGTTAACTGTAAAGGTAATTAATAATTCTGTATTAAATTGACGTGACAAAAACATTATATATACACTCGTATGTAACAATGAACAAATCGGTCTTAAGGTATTCGACTACTTGCGACAACTTTTTTTTAATAAAATGGATATATGGCGATTTTGTTGTGGTTTTTGGATTTATTTATGAGTACATTTAAGAAAAAAAGGAATACAAAATTAAGAGAAAAATAAACTATTACTACTAAAATGGGAAAAAATGTATAAAAATTGACAAAAAAATTACATAAACGGGGCCCCTTTCTGTACAAATAGTAAATGAACAAATTCTCAATTTGCCAATTTTGATGTATTACTTTGCTATTTCTTTTTGACTGCAGGATAAGAATATTTTAAGTTTTACTAAAACAAGGAAGCACTTTATCTTAGTTACTACATGAAATTGCTTTTAAAAAACAGTGATTACATTCACATAAAACTGTAAAATTTTTGTAATAAACCAGTGGTTAATAAATCTGAAGGTTGAAACACTTCAACTATTATACAGAACTTGTAAACAAAAATTTCAACAGAATTATTTTCAAAACTTTTTTGAGCAATCGCTGTCCTGTTTGAATTTTTTCCAAAAGCACATTTCGAGTAAAAACGCATTTCAAGTTTAACATCTTATGTAAGTTATGGCCTTTGCTTACTAAAACACTTGTAATTTTTGCTCTAGTGAATGGAAAATAAAAAACTGGTATTTTTATAAAGCTAATAAGATGGCTTATAAAATAAAGTCATAAAAAATTGTCAATCTTTTTTAAAAAAAATCGTGATTTTTAAAGATAGCCGGATACCTTAATTCACGCATAAAAAAATCGAACCTGGCTAAACATTCCTTGAAGATCAAATAAAGGAGTTTTTAAATGTGAAATCTATTCTAAATCAATTGAAAAAAAGAAAACGTACATATCTTTTTGGGCATCTGATTTCGAAACGCTCTTATGAAGCAAAATAAATATTATCAGTATTTTTCTTTTTTGATGTTCCTTTGGGGCGTGCAAAATTGGATCCTATTTTTTTGGTGGTAAGTTTTCTTCTCTCTAGCCAAAATAAACAGTCTAACCTTTCCAGCAAGAGAGACGCAAACATAACACAAAGAAAGGGGGGAATTTGA